GTTTGTTGATCAAAAAATTATGATATTTTTTTATTAGTATAATAAGATAGTTTATATATATATGATATATATTAATATATTTTAAACAGATCAATAATTACTAACATGTAAAAAAAACCAATAATATATATATATAATAAATAGCTTTAATTTTTAAAAAGTTTGTTATATAGTATATTATGTACGCATCTATCGCTATGTATATATGATAAAAATCAATACGTAGTTATAGCTTTCAAATAAATATACAGTATTATGCAGCAAATATAAGCAATTTAATTTTTTTACACAACAGTTACAAACCATCTAAATTATATAAATTTATAGTTTTTTAAGGAGGTGATTATGTATTGTAAAATCATGATTAAGTTTATAACAATATGAATTCTTAAGTGTATAGTTTTTTTAGCAGTACATAAAAGTCTAAAAATATAATATTAACAAGCATATAATTATAAATATCGATATTTTTAAAAGTCTTTTTTGGAGTATTTTTGGATTAATTGATTGATAAAGTTGAACATTAATTTATTAATTACATATTGATATCGATATCTGATATTGTTATACAACCAATTAAATATAAAAAAAAGATGTAAAAAAAGATGTATATATTGTTATCGACATAAAAAAAAAAAATTTTTTTTTTTTATCTAAAAACTTTCAATACTTTTTAAATAAAAGGTTAGACTCAGAAGCCAAGCTTTTTTATAAAAGGAAAAAAAAGAAGGTTAATGTATCCGTATAAATCGTTTTATATTATAAACTTTAACCTTGTTATAATTAGTTTTTTTTTTCTTTTGCATGAGTATAAAAAAAAAATTTTTTTTTTTTTTTTTGTGCACATGAATATATATAATTTTATAGAGAATTTAGAGTAGGTGCAGTGTCTTGGTACCTGCCGTTTATTTGCGTGCGTACGGTACGTAATCGTAACGCTAAATTTTTTTTAAGCATTCATTTGATAATATCAAAGATTGCCACAACTACAACCACCTTACCTAATTCGATTCAAAGGCTATTATTTCTAAACACAATAAGGTAAATAAAAAAAAAAAAAATTGACACGAGAATATAATCATTTCTCTTATAGGCTTTAATTTACGGATATGCGAAATGAACAAACGAAATAATTCAATAGTTAATCGTGTTAATCATAGTATGAAAAGACTAACCAAATAAGGAAAGTCATACAGTTTTTCGTTGACAAGATATCTAAAAGATGCCAAAAATCTTTATTGAAAAAAAAAGAGATTAATTTGACCAAAGATCAATGAATAAAAAAAAAAAGAAATAATTAAAAGATGAAAAATAGAAAATAGAAAAATAAAAGAGATGAAAATCTTTAGAAGGAAATTGATAACGATATATATATATATTTTTTTTAAACAATTTAACAATAGATTATGGAAGATATGGATGCAAAATGGTAATCATTTTAATATTATTGACATCATAAAAGTAGGTTAGGCAGAGGATAAAAGTTTCATAGTATCTTGTCGATGGTAAATAAATTTAAGGTTTAGTAATTAAATATGATCCGCCATTTGCACAAAACGCCCTTGATTGTTTCATATGCTTAAATTCATGTGACGAGAAAGGAATCTTTTTATGGTTTGATGCTTCTTTTTCCTAAACCAAAAAAAAACTGAATGATTATGTAAAAAAGTGGGTGAACGGCGGTGCGTGAGACATTGGTGAGATTTAAACAAGCAATTTTTTTTAGAATCCAAATTCCAATTTCGAAATAACGAAATTAGAAAACATGTGATATTTTAATACTTTATAAGGAATAATGGGTAAAAAAATTGAGAGAAAAGAAAACAATATATCGAGAAAATTAAGGAAATAGTTTCTTATTAGAAGTGCCGAATAAGTAAGATTCATTTCAAAGCGACAAATGACACCAAGTCATATGAACGATTTGGGAGTGTAACAAAACCAGGAATTTAGATGAGGGTAGGTAAAAAAACAGGTAATTAACAAGCCTGGCGTAAAATTTTTTTTGTTTGTGAGACGTACGCCCAGACTCTTATTCGCGTCACTGTTTATGCACTCTAAAAATGGTTCTCCAAAATTAATCCCAATATATCATAAATCAACACATGCGTGTAACAAACTTTTTTATGCAATTTTGTGTTGGTATTTGTGTGAAATATTTTTATTAATTTTTATTGGCCTTTGCTTTTGTGCCAATTAGTTCCCATTTGTGATTTAGTAAATTTCGTAATCTTGTTACATTTAATTGATTAAGAACATATCTGCAAAACTGTTGTGATATCATTAAAAAGATCAAATGCGGATCAGGTAGAAGAATCCCTTGAAATAGGTTGGATTATGGTATTAAAGTATATTAAAGTGTATTAAAGTATATTAAAGTATATTAAAGTATATTAAAGTATATTAAAGTGTATTAAAGTGTATTAAAGTGTATTAAAGTGTATTAAAGCGTTAGAAGAGTGTACACAATATGCGTACATTTTATTGATTAAATTGATTGTGTAAAATTTAGATAACAAAGAGTAAAAAAAAAAATTAATCTAATAATCTTCTAATAATAATCTAATAATAATCTAATGATCGTTTAATAATCATTTAAATATAATCTAATTATCATTTAATTATCATCTAATTATCATCTAATAACCGTATAATAATTTGTACAATAATATCTAATAATCATTAATAAATGCTGGCTAATTTTCTTTTTGTACAATTTGGTAAAAATTATTTATAAAAATTATTTCTTCAAGTAGGACACTTATTATCCTCTCTTTGTTTATTTTAAATGAAACGAACGTTTTGATTCACTTTTTTTTTTTTTTGGCCTTTGTATTTAAAACGAATACCGAGCATCTGGATAATTACCTAATTTATAATTCATTCATTTAAAATTCCTTTATATGGTCATCATGATCTCATATATAAATTATTATTAAAATTATTATTAAATCACGAGCGTTTGACGTCACAATGTATTCGTCACTCGCGATCGATCGAATGATCGAATCAAAATGATAAGTTTCACGTACGTATGTATATATATATGCATGTATGTACGTCTACTTTTTATCATATATAAATGCGTACAATTTTAATCCATGTTTTTTTTTTTTAAAAAAAAAAAAGAAAAAAAAACCGGATTTTTTAAATCAAGAGTGTCATGATTCGGAATTCTGAATTCGGAATCAAAAGCCTCATCATTTTAAATTCCCAAGCCTCATCATTTTCATACATACATACTTTTGATCCAGATTTCAAAAAAAAAAATAACTAGAATTTCATTTCATTTAAAATATTATGTATATAATTCATTCAACTTTATATTAAAAAAGTTAATTTTATACACTATAAATTTTCACGTAAAAAACATGTTTTTGATTCTAATTTATTTTTTATTCTCGAATTTGATTTTTTCGGTGATATAGAATTGATAGAATGAATAGAATTGATAGAATGAATAGAATGAAAGAATATATATATATATATATTTTTTTTTATAATCGCGTCACCTTCCATTTTATTATTACCTGTTCAAAAACCTGTCAATTAAAGTTGCTTTACTGATTACCGATTTCTCCGATATCAACATTATGATATAATATTAGGTAATAATCTTTCCCCTGTAAACCGATCATCAAAATCAATCACGAGGAAAGGGGAAATATGATTAAATATGGGGTCTTTGCTATGTCCTGTAGGGTCATTTCAAGGCAAAGACCCCATATAATTAAATATGATTAAATATGATTGAATATGATTGAATATGATTGAATATGATTGAATATGATTGATTAGGATCATCATCATCATAATTCATTTCAATTGTAATCCCGAAAATATATATATAAACGTCTGCCACTGACTGTTTAACGTTAACCCAAGATTTTTTAAAATTTACGAGACTTGAATATATTTATCCGAATGATTGGTTCGTTATGGGGTGCGTAATAAACATCAAATAACGATTAGATCGATCGATCGTCATCTTCATATTATAATTCATAATTGTATTCCCCCTTTTAATCTGATTTAATCAAATTTAAATCGGAGTTACATATATCTGTTATGAGTTGGTTCGATAATAAATATGTTTAATACGTCATAGTATTTTATGACGAATTAGAATTCTTTTTTTTCCACAAAAAAAAAAAACTTTAAATTTTCACAGATATTCACATATATTCACACATAATTCACACGTTTTTTCCTTTAAATTACTGATTAAAACCAAAAAAATTTATATATTACATACTATAACAGGAAATTTAACAATGCTCTTATCCAAAAGGGGTTTATATGTATATATATATATGTATATATATAAACTATATAAAAAAAAAAAAAAAGAAATTAGGATAAGAGCGAGTGGTATAAAAGAAAAAAAAAGGATACAAAGAAAAAAAGATATATATTTTTTTCTTTAGAAAAAAAAAAAACAAAAATTTAACAAATTTAACAAAATTTTAACATAGAGGGGTATTTTTTTTTTTATAACTATTAGCTAGCGGAATTGTTCAAATGCTTATAGGTTTTGTTGGTTGTTAGTTGTTGTTTGTTAACGTATAATAATGATTCATGGAATTATATATGCTAGCTAAAGACATATTGCTGATTATATATATACATATATATATATATATTTAATAAGAGACATGGAAATGGCGCACAAAAACTGTGCAAAGGAAAAAAAAATTGACAAACAATTGAAGTAAAAAAGATCAACCTACTATTATACCAAAATCTTTTTCGTTTACATCATGTTGCCTTATTTACATACGACAATCATACTACCAGTGCACGATAAGATTTTTTTTTTTTTTTTTTTGTCACGAAAAATATATTTATATAACAAAGAAAAACTATATATAAAAAGGTCTCCAAAAAAAAAAAAAAAGAATAAAAAAAAAGAGGGAGAAATAAAATAAAATAAAAAATAAAAAATAAAATAAAATTTGCCATAATACATCTACCCTGAGAAATAATATCTCAGTCTGCAATTATAGTACTGTCGCACATTTACAACAGCGCTTTAGATCGGGTGAATCTCCATTCTTTGGTTTTTTGAACATTGCATTATATTCAGACTTGAGTGGAATATACCGGCATTCTGAATTCGTGCAAACACATTTCGTCTTCTTATACCTATATATATATATGTCAATCATTATTTAATTAGCATTAATATATAAAATTTACATGACTAACGATTTTTATGAATATATTCATATATCATTTAATATATTATTTAATATATTATTTAATATATTATTTAATATATAATTTAATATATTAACAAATTTACCTTAATCCACAGCTATTACACAAGAAAAGATCTGGACGCCAGCCAGGTCTCCAACATGGTGTACTGCGTGTTCTACAACTTGCACAAACTTTAGTTTTATTACCCGATTCTCTACGATGTGTCATATGTAATGTAGATGACGATGAATTCGGATAATATTTAGATGAAGAATGTTCTCCTTTACGTTTCTTTGTAGGTGGAGCAAAATCTGGATCATCTTCATCATCACCAAAATTATCAGAGTTAAGATCATAATCACTTAATTCCGATGTAGGAATTGATGATAATGATGATACTGACATAGATGCTCTTCTTTGATTAGAATTTCGATAATATGTTAAATTTCCATTATGATTATTTGTTCGATTAATTTGTTTATCTCCTCCGACATTTGTTGTTGAATTTGTATTTGTTCTAGAAATTTGTGAATTTGAATATGTTGATAAAAATTTTTGTCCATTAATTGCTGCGTTACGACGTGATGAATTAATTCCCGTTTCTTCTTCATTTTTATTTGTTCCATTATTATCTGGTGTATCAATAATATGATCTAATCCTGTTAATTTTAATAATTCTAATTCTTGACTTTCTCTTTTATTTTTTGCTCTTGTAACTGGTCTAGTTCTCATTTTAGATCTTCTAGCTTGTGAAAATGATTTAATAATATCTGGTAATAAAACTGGTCGATGAATAATAAATGCTGTTGGTCCTTTCATTTTATCTTGATGAATTGTTGAAATTGTTGAATCTTTAACAATTTGTTCTCCATTATTCCCATTATTATTCATAATAATATCATTATCCGTATTAGTCGTATTAGTTGTAATTTGTTTTTGTTGTGATAATGTTGTTTCGGTATTATTTGTATTATTATTTATATTTGTATTGGATTTTGTATCGATATTTTTGATATTTGTATTTGTAATTGTTGATGATGGGAATAAAACTGGAAAGCAAAAAACCATACCAGGATCACTTTCCACATCATCACGATTAGGTGATCTAAGAGGTATACCTTTACGTTTTCTTTTAGATGAAATAGTTGAAGAAATCGTACTAGCGATAGAATCAACTGACTTGGTAACTTCATTAATGGTCGAAGATGATGATGAAGATGATGATGATGATGAATCTGCACAAGGTGAAGATGATCTCACCGAAGTGGCACGAGATAAAAAGGAATAAGAATCAGGAATCTTGATTTGATGAGCGGCAGCCACTTGAGGAATAAAAGTAGAAAGAAAAGAATTATGTATAAGATATCGAGAACCAGATTGAGCGACAGGATCAGGACTCGTCGGAGTTGATGGTTCATCCGAACCATCAGTATTATCATGTACCGAAGGAGGTGCGGTTAAAATTAATTGATCAATTGGATCAATGTTATTCGAATCCTTTTCAACATCTTTTTCCGATACTGAAGGATTATCAAGAAAGAATTGATCTTTTCCGTCGAACGATTCGAAGGCGGGAGGTGTCGGTATGCCAAAATCAGAAGACATTATAATTATAATTCACGTGAACTATATATAGAGAAACTATATACATATAATATATTATAATACATTATATATATTATCATATTGATAATATTGATATATATATATATATATATATATGTATATATAAAAATAAAATGTATATGAAAAAATCAATGATCAGTAATTTTGGCGGAGATATAATCAGATCATACGTAATTCAATAAAGCAACAAGGCGAATAAACACGAATCGACCATATAAAAGCGGAAAAAGACGGATCGGACAGATCGCATTCGTAAATCAGAACTAGCCGAAGGCGTAGGAAGAAATAACGAAACAAATCGAAAATCGAAGGACTCGAAGAAAATCAAAGTTGATAGCATTCATCGGGATCATGATTCGAATAAAAAAAATTTTTTTTTTTTGAATGGATGCACGATGAAAAAGGAAACTTCTAAATAGTTAGTTTTTTCTGGAAAAATATATATATATTAAAATGGACTAAAAAATGTTTAATCAAATCGGATCAAGTAATTTTTTCGAGCACGATGAGATGCATAAATAATTACGATGATCTGAGGCTAGTGGAATGGTTTTTTCTTAACGCATTATTAAAATTATTAAAATTATTAAGATTATTAAAGATTATTAAGATTATTAAGAGTTATTAAAATTATTAAAGGAATGTAAACAACTATTTAAAAAAGCTTGAAATTTTCGAAATTTTCGAAAAATTCGAGAAACTTGAAAGGGAAATAAAGGAGAAAGAAAAAGGTGAACAAAAAAAAATAGGTTTTCAAAACAAACGATCGGACCAGTAAAGATTCACATTTCAAACAGACAAAACGAAACCAACAAAGTTTTTTTTTTGTTTCTCGGAAACGAAAATAGTTTTTAAAAAGAAAAGGATAATTTGTTTACCTGAGAAGGGCAAACTTGAATTGTCGTTGAGAGTAGACCGAACCGAGTTGATAGACAATTTATAACCGAATATCGATAAAAAAAAAAACAGAGTCTAGGAAAACCAAAAAAAAGTCGATAATAGTGGATACGAAATATATCTAGATATAAATAGGTAAAATTCTAATCCACAAGTAAAAAGAGATAGAGGGGGTGGGAACAAAAAAAATTCGAGTCGTAAGTTAACCAGTAACGAATATATATATTCTAAAAAAACGAACACAGCTCTGGATTTTCTAGTCTATTCAATAGTTTTTTTTTTTTTTATTTTTATATTTTATATTAAAAAAAATTAATGAATCTACGAGGGAGAGGAAAAAAAACGATTTTTTTTTTTTTTTTTTTTATGATTTATTCAGAGCGGTGAGGAAATTTTAGGTGTCTTGTCGTTAACGGCAGTTATATATGTAGTGTATCAGAGCAATATCTACTTTTTAAAAAAGTTAAGATTATTATATAAATATGCAAAGAAAACAGTGGTGATATAAATAGTGTTAATTTCGTGTTACACAGTATATTTAGTTTCTAAGGATAAGCATGAAGGCAGTTACAAAGTAAAAATTATTACGTACACCAAAATGATAGTGAAATGATGAAGGGTGAAGTAAAAAAAAACCAGTTGAAGAAAAGTGCGATTCAATATTAAGAATGTGAATGATTTTTGTGCAAAATATCACAAAATAATCGAATTACAGGTTGACGAAGTACTAAGGCGACACAAATAAAATCCGTATATTTTACATTATGCTCTCTTTAATTTTCTTTTTTTATTGTATTTATACATATTTAGGTTCAATAATATACTTTAAATGATTTAATAATTTAATAATTAACTTATTATTTTGTTCTACCTTTACTATTACTTTACTACCTTTTACTATCTTTTACTATTACTTTATCTTTTACTATTACTTTTACTATCTTTTTACTATTACTTTTGCTACCATTTACTTTTATTGATCGTACTTTTTTTAAAAAAAATGATGATTCGCTCTTTCGACAGAAGTGATGGGACGTTTTACGGTTAATTAGGATGGACGGTTGGTTCATGTCAATTAGCGAACGATTATTAAGAGAAATTAATAATATTAACGCATACTTTTGATGCATCCTTTGTAATTGAGGCAACCAATATCAGATACGTTTGAATGTGTGTTAAGTATATCCCTTATACATAATTCTTCAAAGTATTATCAGACGCATGATTTTGGTAAGGATATGCGAAACACTTTATCGCTTTTCGTGTTACAATATTATTATTTTGCCATTTTGCCCACATTTTTTTTTTTTTCTACTTTCGTAATAAAAATATATATACGTATAAATATAAATATAAATATAAATATATGTTTATATATACATATATTCTTTCTTTCTTTTTTTTTTTTTTTTTTTTTTTTTTTTACACGCGATCCGTCCTTAATTTTCTTTAGGACCAAATATAGGGACGGATTAAAATCAACCAATTTTGTTAATGATTCCTTTTCAAAGAGATCACCGAATTGAATTCCGAAGCGGAGATCCCGAAACAAAATTAGAAAAACCAAAAATTCAAAAAGATATGGCACACAATTGATGATCGAAGAGTAATCCCCTTTCTCGTGTAAAGTTTAAGGGTTCGTCGTTCACCTAAGCGACAGATACAACAAATGATGCATCTGCATTACCACCGGAGGGGTGACTATGAATTTTAAATTATAAATTCGTTTTATTTTATAATTATAAAACGAACGAAAGAACAGTTTTGAGTATCCAGCATGAGTGATACATCGCACGACTTTATAAATAATAAATAATATATTATGCGGTTTGTAGTTTTGTAGTTTTGTAGTACTGTCCCATATACTCTGTCAATATACTGTCAAAATATACCGTCAATATACTGTCTATACTGCCTATACTGCCTATACTGTATATTACTTGTATATTAAATATTAAACATTATATTATATTATATTATTATATTCTATATTCATTCTCTATACGTATCAATATCAAATGTTCTCTATAATTCTGTAATCAGTATATTCACAATATTCTTTATTTTCATTACATTCAGTATATTCATTATATCCACTCACATTTTATTCTCACTCACATTTTATTCACTCATATTTTATTTGCTCACTCACATTATATTATATTCACTCACATTATATTATATTCGCATATTCAACTCAACGTATTTCACGGTATTTACTATATTCATTATTTATTCACATCATTCGATATCGACACATTATATTCATCATTTTATTTATTTATATTAGGGGACGTTTAAATGTCTGTGAGCATATTCAGGTACGTACCTACTTATGTACATACGTTAATTTGTTTGTGCGTACTTTATCTTTGTTGAAATAGAATCCACAATACAGCAATACATACGATACGATATGACACATAAACGCACAAGTACATAATCATACGAGATTAGAAAAATTTCAGTTAAACAGGTTTTCTGGTATCACAAATTTTTTATAATTATTACTGAATTACTATTGAATTACTATTGAATTACTATTGAATTACTATTGAATTACTATTGAATTAATACTGAATTATTACTGAATTATTACTGAATTATTACTGAATTATTACTGAATTACTGAATTATTAAAAAAAAATTCGTCGTAAATATCGATGTCGTGATTTTTTTTTTTTTTTTATTATCATAAAAAAAAAAAAGTGATCTTTAAGGGGACATTTGTTTTTTTCCTAACACTAAACACTAAACACTAAACATTAATATGACATTAATGTTAATTAATAACACTAATAAAACTAATTATACTAGTATAATACTAAGAGCATTCACTTTACATCGGTTATTTAACCAATTGATTTCCAAAATATATCATGAAGATCCCCGCATTTTTCCTTTTTTCGTCCATTCACCAACCATAAAAAATCAATTATTTGAAAAAAAAAACAAATCCACAACAGAAAACAGCGACAATAAACCACAACAAAAAATCACAAAAAACCACGACTAAACTCGGTTATAGTAAGCTGGTATGAAAGTATGTGTATATATGAGAAATAACTTTGATTAAACTTTTACTTATCAAAGACTTATCAAAGAACAATGGAGATCGGGATCAAAAAGATAAGTTTTTTTTTTTTTTGAGAAATATTTTAGATAGAAAAATTTTTAATATTGGTGGGAAACTTGCATCCCACAGATTTGGATGACTAATTACACAATTCTTCGTACACAAACAACTTTAAACAAACCTGTCGCCATGATGATATTCCACATTTAACTTTATCATTCAGAGAGTACGTACACTGACTCTCATAATTATTGTTCCACCGCATTTAAAATTTTTAGAGCGTGATATTTCACGTTCTATAAAGCAA